CTCATTTTATTAATCTTAGGGGAAAGTAAATAAAATTTTCCATATAAAAGAATTTTGATGAAACATATTAAAAGTTTTGGGAATAGAAATACCTTTAATCAGTTCATAAACAATGGTCACTGTAACGAACAGAATATTTGTTTACATACACAATTGGAGGTCTACAGCAGCTAGATATTGAAAAATTGATATAACACTACTAGCAGAGATCACATGAAGAAGTAGTGACATTTTATTAAAAATAAATTCGGCCACGTTGTATGTCTGTCATCCAAAACACAACTTTTTTGTGTTTAAGTAGCGTTTCTAGTTCTTTGTTGGATTTCGAAAATGAAGTATACTATCATACGCTTTAACGCAATACACGAAAGGCCAGGCAGTCTTTGCGAGCGAAGTGATGTCACAAACATTTACCTAAGAAACGTTTACATACTTGCAATGTTTGAAGGAGTTCTTTGACGATAAAATGAACAGTCCATGAGGTAGAAAATTCAATAAAATAAATCTGCCATCATCAAATTTAATACTATAGATGATATGTTAAGCTCATGAAATCCAAAACAAATTTATTAATATCAGCTTCATTAAAGTTCTCGCACCCACGAAACAGCCATTGACAACAAAAAAAAAACCATACTATAACCTTGTTGATTGATTTCCCTGATTCTTCTGATACCTTAAACTGGTTTGATATTTGAACAGCAAGACTTAGTCTTGGTGAAAAATTAGACGAGTCTACAATTACTTTAACTTCAAGCTTTGTAGTCATATAAAAAATATGTTAAAATGAAAATAAAACTATGAAACATTAAAGTCCCAATTAATTTACACTGATTTCTATATGTCAACATATATTGTAATCACATGTCACAGACAAATTACGAAATTAAGACTTCACCCCTAACCCACAATAAATTTGTGTATTATAAGTGCCATGAAACGTATTAAGTTCTAAAGGAGCGTGAGATTTTTATCGATGCAAATAACCAAATTCAATAAAATATAACTAAAATATCGGCAAAGAGCACAAAAACAAAAAAACGAAAAAAGAGGAACAGAAGTGAATAAAATTAAAGGGTTCATTAAAACTACACAACGATAATGTTCACAAATAGAGCCATTATCCTTTTAATTCCACACGCCCCGTCGGACGTTGCAGAAACACTCATGAGCAAGTAATGCTCAAGCCAGGATATGTCAAGGATATGCCAAGCGTACATGAAGTGGTTAAGCAAATATGTTAGTTTGTAAATTTTATGGTTTCTAATGTGATTTCAGTGTGTAAATTTGTTTAAGGACAAACACAAACATTGCGCACACACTTCATGTTGCCGTCAAGGATACTGGAAACCCTTTTACGGCAGTGCATCCCTGCACGTTCGCAAAGTGAAAATTATGCAAAAATATTTTCAAAACTACTTTCCCTTTGCTTTATTTATAAATATTTTCCTTTATATTGTTACATATAAAAAGGTGCATTTTGTGATTTTGTATGTTAATGTTTTTATTTAATTTTTATGATTTTGTTCTTGTAATGCAATTACTGAAGTATATTTCATAGGCATATGCTATCTTTCACCGCTTGAACAGATACACTCCATGTACACTCATATGTCCTTAGCCTGTGTGGCTTTTTCAATTCGAAGGGTTGAGTTAATATAATGAAGTGCCATAATGAGTTTAAATGTGCAAAATATACGAGTGATGTGTGTAATTTAATCAAATAATATGAAAAATGTGCAGGTAATTAATTAATGCTTTTATCATTTATATTTTTTATTAGATTATGCGATGAAGCACAAAGAAAATTAACTCTTTTGATGCAACAATACCCTGAATACGCATGCTAAATGTTAAACGAGTAGTCCATGAAACACTAAGCCATTGAGTCCGACTTTGTAATAAATTTTATGTATATTACTTAAAATTGTTTTGTAATTAACTCTTAATTCCTTTGCGATTCCATTTTCGATCACATTTCACAATATTTCTGCCTCTATGGCGGTGATTTCCAGTTGGATGTTGGTCTTAAATTCGTTTAGTAAATAAAAACCTTTGACTTCTGGTTCAAAGTCTGGCTCAAAAAAAGTAGCAATTTGAGCGAAGGTTGCGCCTAGTCAAAATCATAATTTTTTGTAATCAAAGAAAAACAATGACTTAATAACCTCTATTGGCCTCTGTTGTATAATTAAGTAGTATAATTACAACTCTGTAATTATTAGTTGTAAAACATATTATATATTGAATAAATAGAGAGTCAGTCGAAGACAGGCTGTCGTAAGTAAAAGACATATCGTTTTACTTATATATATAAATATATTACTCAGTTGGTTGTATAAAATATAACAGCCTCAAACTGTAAGAGACGATGCGCCATCTTATTGAAACCGGTTTTATCACGAAAAGTCAACATCAAAAAATCGATTCATTGCTCGATAATGAATCTGATTGACAGTTGTTGCTTTGCCTCTTCAACATTATCTTAATTATGTATTTTGAAGGCGCCGAATGACATTTAGGAAACTATATGAGAATTTGATATTTGCCTCTGACAGTACAAGAACTTTATTTGAAACTCGCTTGAATCGTTTTATGAATATTTAAGTCTGACATTACCCCTTATAGTTCATTTAGTGGTCCTTAAATTGATATATTCTCCACTATCTGGTTTTTTTAATATAAACTCTCGCTAGAATAAAAAATGGCTAGGATCCATTTATTAATTGACGTTGAGCTTCTCCTTTTACACAACAGTCAGCGCTTTCGTTGCCTGCTTTCATTATTCACCGAAACCTACCACAATGTGACTTTGCTGTATTAAAAAAGACGATTTAACATTTGAACTAGAATCTATTCTAATACTAAGAACTTATACTAATATGCAATACCAAGAAAATCAGGGCAGTATTTTTTTTAATAAGTATTTACTCAAAGTTTGTCAGAATATATTTCGAATTCTATAGTACGTAAAGTATGTATATTGAAGAGATAAAATAGTTCCAAAACTTGTTATTCAACAATTCTGCAGATTTATCACTACTTACAATAGCACAATACATCTTTTATCCCTTTTTACTTAATCACTACTTTATTGTTATTTTAAATTTCGAGTACAACAGACTTCCAAGCAATACACCTACTATATAAATCAGTGGCATTAAATAGTATTTTATGGTTTGTCCTCTTCAAGAATAGCTTTTGCCCAATTATCTGGACAGCCGGGAAACAATTAAAAATATATGCTTCTTCAACGGTCTGTTCTTTACTTAAATTCTAGAAGGAGTATCTAAAACTATCTAAAAATACTAATATTTTTTATTCTTAACATAATATAAATCTTATGGAAGATAACTATTTAATAAATTATTTTATTTAATTAGCGACGAAATCATTTACCCAATAGTATATCCTATAGTATAAAGTTTATCCATTTAAAATAATTTTAATGGGTTCGAATCTTAAATGGTGGCGCATGGTAATCTCTTCCAAACCAGTTCATTTTACACATAAATAGTCACTCCATTAAAAGAGAATACTATTAAGATTTTTCAATTTAAATCTCTTAAAAAATAAAGCCGTATGATATTTAAAAAAAATTAAAAAAAATTAGAAATAATTTTTGCTCTTTTTTATACTGCGCTTAATCAATTTGAAATATAAGTGAGCATTTCAAGAAAAGATTCTTTATCTTCACTTTTAGTTTTGCATAAATATACCGCCTGTAAAACTAAATATCTATTATATATCAAGATTTCTCCAAAAGATTCTTATCAAATTTCTGAGCACATAATTGCAAAGACACACAAATTCTGCTATAAAAATCTTACTCTGAACCATAAAAACTCTCAGAACACTTGCAGTTAAAATGGAACACACAATTTCTGCAGTTAATACCCACTAAGAAATAATATAATAATTAAAAATTATTTAATTTTCAATGAGATTTTATACTCAGCTACTCTGGCGCCAAGTGCCTTATGGAAATCCTCCGATGATCACCGCACAGACAGTTTTAATAACTTTTTCAACTGGCAGTAAACAAGGAATATGCAAAGATAAAACTGCCGATTTTGATTTCATATGGTATATACAAATCGCTAGCACTTTTGCCGGCATGAGGATAAAAGGGTGATTTTCTATCTTAAGCTGATCTAATTTGTTAGGATCATAATATTTGGGTTTGCTATTGTTCTTTACCCAAAAGTAAATTGGATTATAATTATATTGTATTTGCATTTTGCGCTACTGTTTTTAAAAGGTAACAACAAAGTTTCTCTTATAATAGTACAAAAAAAAAAAATAAAAATAAAGTATAGCTTGTGCTCCAGCAATCATCGAAAGGACTTACAAAGACAACGACCGTCAATTAATTAATTTGAACTGATTGTCCAACCTCCTGCAGAGTGATATGCAGCTTCCTCTTTTACATAAGAAAATATTTGTTTAAAAATTTAGTACTCACAGTTGGAGATCAAAATACAAAAAAGTTATACTCTTTCCAAAATTGTATAACTGACATCTTATATTTACGACACATTGGAAAATTAAATCATATATGTAAAATGTATTTATATACAACGCGACAACGGCATATAGTACCTTCTATTGATTCCGAGGTGTCAATAACACGGACTCAACTTTATTATTTATTTGAATATATGCAGTGTTTTGTTTTGAAATACGAGTATAATTCATAGTGGCATACAGTATCTTCTATTGACTCCAATGTGTCTATAACAAGGTCTCAACTTTATTATTTATATATGCAGTGTTACGTTTTGAAATATAAAAACAAAAATAAAAACAAAAATAAGCGTATAAAAGGAGATCCAGTAGTAGTCTGTAAAAGAAAAGTCTTCTGAAAGCATCATTTAATCATTTAGATAGCTTAAGTCATGTATAGTGGTTTTTAATCCATTATATCAATATATCAAAAATAAATAATTTTGCAATTTTTTTTATTTATGCAATTATATATTATATGTAAGATATAACCAGCATGTGTGCTATATTTTACATATAATATATAATAACAATTTTTTTTATTTTGTTTTATGCTTCCCTGAACTTTACAATTTCTTCCTGACAACATGATCATAGAGTGCGGTATAACCGTACACCTTTGAAAATACTACAGTACGGATGCAATTTTCTTTATATTCCTTATGACTAGTATCTACGCAAATCATTTTATGATCTCCTTTATGCATGAACATCAAACCGTGTTTTACATCATTGACCACAACATAATTATCAGAATCAGTATAAGAACTATTACTATTGTGTTCATCATAAAAGCTCAAGTCAGTTCTACGCGGCTTTAGCATAACCTTTCCACGAAATATACCACGCCAATTATCGCAATTACTCAATTCCAAATTACTCTGCCGCAATCTATCTGAGTAATCAATATAACTGGAAACTTGAAATCCGGGCTTCGTTTGAGTTTGTAAAAATATAATTGTCTAATAAAATAAAATTATTTCTTCATAATTAATATGCAAGTATAAATATATTATAAATACCGAAATAATCTTTTGCGCATTTGGTTTCTCACGTGCAGCTAACGCTCTTAGAAATGGATCCTTCGACAGCTTAAATTGACTATAAAGTATCCATGATCTTTTCTGTGGCCATAGCACCTCCCTTGCGAGAGCTTGTCGATCTTTAAATTGTTGTGGTGTATAGATGTCTCCAGTGGAACGATAACCTAGAGTAACAAATCGTCGAACCTGTCCTATGTTACGTACAAATCGTATATCATTTTCTGTGATGAATGTATCCAGATAATCATTATAGGTGTCACAATTCAATAAGAACAAATCACGCCGTGCTTCCATTTTTGATATATATGAGCTTTGTAGAGTAAAAAAATAAAAAAAAACTATAAAAATACCAAAATAAAAAAGTGCAAAAATAAAAACTTTACAAAAGAAATAAAAATTAAACTAAAATGAATTGAAATAAAATCTTTTTATTATAGTTTTATTAAAATTTATATTTAATCATGGCTAACATAGACCAAAATCCAAATATTGTATTTACGAAAACTGACAGGCTTACCAACACCGCGTTATCGAATCTCAGAAGCTCCTCAGGGAAGTATGCAGATCTGAGGTCAATTATTGCTAAGTCTGATGATGTGATAAAAGATAATCCCGTCAAAGCGTGGAGAGGGGTTATGAAGAAATCTCACAGTTAATAGAGAGTAAAAGTGCTCAAGTGCACTAACTCAACTAGTCAGACTAATAAATGTCAAGTTATGCAGTTCATCATATAAAGAATGATCATAATATATCATCATATCGTTATGATTGAATGATATGATAAGCTTACGTTCTTTAGGGTCAGGAGATACATATTTGATATAGAATTTTCCCGAACGGAATCGAGCAAACCACTCCTGAATCCAAAGTTCACACACAGTATCCTCACCGTAACCCACATAATTTCTACAGCATGTCTTTGGAACAGAGTCAACTTTTTTAATTAATTACCCAACTGCCTTTACAAAACGTGTAGCCTAAAATATCACTTATCGAACACGTGTTTGTTTGACAAATTTAAACTACTGCTGTCAGATATATGGGTACCTACGCCATCTAGTGACAAATCCATCTAGTTTTTCGATATCACACAATATATCGTTTAATCATTTTTGTGATGATGCGTTAGGAAGGCATTAGAAGCATTCGAGACAAAACTTCTTCTGAAGATCTATGGTCCCTTACTCGTTGGCGTCAAGTATCGAATTAGATGGAACGATGAGCTGTATGTGCTCGTATACCACGACATTGACATAGTTAAGCGCATAAAAATTCAGTGGCTTCGCTGGCTTTGTCATGTCTTGTACCCACAGGTCGAAAATGCGGTGGAGGACGTCCACATCTTCGGTGGAAGGGCCAGTTGATCTACGATTTGGGGCGCTCGGTACTATCAACTGGCAACAGCAAGCAACTAATCGGGCTGACTGACGGAAGCTACTCGACGCAGTCAAGGACGACTGACGTCGGTAATGGCCAACTAAGTAAATAAGTAAGTAAGATAATACACAAACTAATAGACTTTGATAACTATTTAATATGTAATTTTAAACACATACTTAAATAGTTAAATAAGTTATTATGTTAAACTGAATACTATTCAAGTATATATAAATATATATATACAATATGTATAGTGATATTTAAAAATTAAAATAATAGTATACAAAAAGACATTCTGTGAGCAATAACAACAAATTGCAATTAAGATTGGCTTCAATTTATTTTATTGTAAAATGCTTTTAAGCCAAATTCATTATTATTGCGATCCATAACACTCGCTTACGCTTGTTTATATTGCAGATTATTTATTCGTGTACACAAAAATATATAGTATATTTATGTGAATGGATTTTATATATCGCATATACTTCGATTGCGGTCAACACTTTTGATATGAAAACGCAGACAATTTGCAATATAAAAATGAAAAAGCAATCACGGCCAACATGGCGTATACTCGTTTTTAAAATGCGTTTAAGCTTTCATTGGAAATTTATTTTTATTTTATTTAAAACTGCAACATTGCAATTCAGACACAATTGTGTGGCAAGCAAACAACCTTTTATTTTTATTTTTTTTTTTTTTGATTCTTTATAATACATTAATACATACATTTTTACATATGTATTCAGATAAATATACATACAACATATATATGTATATGCAACTTTATTGTTTTTACTTGTGGTATGAAAAATGTTTTTCAAAATGAAAATTTATTATTTGCTGCGCCGGGAAAACTCCGCACCCAACAGAAAATTAAAATTTTATTTAATAAATTTAATATTTTTTTTAATCTGTTAGTAGTTCGTTATTACTTATATGATATATATTTTTTTAAAGCTTATTTAATTATCTCACAATAATTTTTTTTTGTTTGAACTCAAGCGCTCTAGAGCTTGATATTTGAGCTGATATTTGTCGTCATAGAACATCTATTACAAATAAAATATTGTGATATAAAAATTCAACTTTTTCAATTTTAATTATATTTTTTTAATTTTTCAACTGTTTAAAACAAGTTCTCAAAATAATTTATATCACGTTTCCACTGCAGTTAAAACTACTTATGTTAATGAAATTAAGATCTGGTCGTTTCCATTGGTGTATGCTGATTTATGTATGTGAAATAGATTCTTTATTTTCATTTTACCTATAAAACTTACGACAAATATTAAAAATTTGTTTTTAAGAATTGCATTGGACGTTTTTCGTCTTAAATCAGTTGATTTATTTATAATGAACTAATTTATGTAAAAGCTCAAAAGAACTTTGTATGGTAAATTATCTTCATTAACTATTGTGCAATATACTTAAAAAAAAATTATACAAATTAATGAACTACTATAGTACACAAAACGACATCGTTAGTTTTGCAAATTTGTTGTTTTGTTATTGTCTTAGTTTTTGAATTTGCATTATTGCTTTGTATTATGGTTAATTCTCCACAAAAACATTTGTATTTTGATTTGTATTAAATCAAAACTTTTTTGTACAGTAAAAACAAAAGTTATAATTAAGAATACAAATATAAGGAAAAAAGATGTCGATATGCTTAAAAAATTTTTGTATAAATCCCTTTCAATATTTGTCAGAAATCTACAACACAGTAAAGAAGACGATGAAAACATAGACGTACCCAGAAGTGAACTTTAAAGGGGAGGCGCTGAGCCAAAAATTAAGCAATTAATGTAATAATAATAATAATTATAGAATTATAAAATAATAATTTCGAAAATCTTTCGAAATGCTTCGTTACTTTTATTAAAAAGAAATATAATAATAATATATACCTATATTAATGGATGACAATACTTTTTTTTTTGGGGTGGGTATATAGCATCGACTGCCACAATGTGAAACTTTAACCCACTAAAGCCATCTCATTAGAATGAATTCAGAAACTTTCTAGTATGAGATGGAATGAAAGATCCGATGCGCAGTTTAAGAAGATTTATTTCAGAAAACAAGGGAAGTTAAGATAAAGAAGTTTAGTATTTAGTCCAGGTTTATCTAAGATAGAAAGCCTAGCGTGGTATATGAGAAGGCAGAAATAGATTAGTTGTAGACTCTATAAACAGGGTCACGAAAGCGAAGTATAAGATGAAGTGTTGAGGGCATTGTGGCGTATGGCTAAAAAAATGTCAGAGAAAATGATGTTAAAAGTTAAAACATCGCGGGAGGTGTTATGCAGCTGGGAAGGTACCGTCTGTCGAGCATAACAACGTGCTAATCAGTGCGTGTAATCTACACTTTCTTGTAAAGAATAAAGTTGGGTAAATGCTTGCCGACAGTTTTGTACTTATGACTGGTACAAGCACAGAGATCTTTACAGTCTAAAAGACGGATTCTTTGCATTTAAACAGAGCTAATTGCAGTCCAAATAGAACAGCGCACGAGAGTAAAGGATGCAGTGTTTGTAGCAGTGGAGCTTACCATGTGCCTCCTAAGATCATTTCTTACTTTGATATGCCTAAAAGTGATGCGTTGAATGGCATAATTTTATTGAGGAATGAAGTTAAGGTGAGAGTATAGCAGAACACCGATACACTAAAGCTAGTTAACAAGCTAAATACGGGTATAATCGAACTCTAGGTTAATGGGTGTAGCATGGAAACGTTTAGAGAGATATCACCTTTGACCTACGAGAGTGATAGCAGAATTTTTAGAGGGATTGAGCTTATTTTTCCATCTGATGTTATAACTAATAAGAATCTTAAGATGGACATTAAGCTTATTTTAGATAGGACGCGGGTTAGATGACAATATGTAGTCAGTTGTACACAAAGCAAATTTGCTACACATTTTCACCTCACAAGATTTATTAACCCGACAATTTAAGTTGCCAATTTATCTACAGTGATATATAAAATTAAAACTCTTTACCCAATTCACCCAACAATTGAACAACCTAAAAACTTTGGGAGATATATATAGGTATAGGTATATATATTTGATTTCACTGCTTAAACTACAAAGCTACCATGAAGGCTTGCTGTCTTCTGCTGTAGTGCCTTTTTTCCTGTCGGCCTACCATTTACCCTCTACACATCTGCAAGTGTGAAAGGATGTGAGATTGCATCCGTGCGTCATGTGGATGAAATAAATGCGTGAAAATTATGGACAACGCAAGGTGCAATTTGCAAAAAGCGATTCTGGCCATTAATAATAATTGTTCATATTTAAATTTTAATGGCAATCAATGCGATTTGTTTGTATGGCAATAATTGCTTTCATGAATGCAATATTTTGAGATACAGATTTTTATGACTACAAGCATTTTGTTTATTTATTTATTTGCTTTTATTGCACAGATACTTGGAAAATAATTGTAATATAACAATTAATTTTGATTTGTTAAATAATCTGAAATAAAATGAAATTATCGAACAAATTCTCTAAATAATTTAATTAGTGACAAAAACTAAGTTTAATTTACGCTACTTAACACCATTGAAATGTTAGTACCTAGACTTTTATTTACACAATTTCATTTTTAATGTTATTTACGAGAAAAAAGTAGTTCAAATCGCTGGCAATTTTAATTTAATTGAAATTCAAATTGTTATTTAGCAAAATTTGTAAGCGCATCTCTTTGATGTTTTGACAAAAAAGTCTACAAACACTAACACCCGCCACACCCATCCGAAGGTAGCACGATTTTATGTAATCGCATCCATTTAGCTGTGCTCATACAAATCCCATCCCACCCCCACTTCTGAATGCCAAAAAAAAATTAATTTCTTTAATGGCTTCCCTTGAATGCTTCTCCAAAATGCTTTTTCAAATTGCAAATAAAATTGCATAAATAAAAAAGGTGGAAAACACTACAAACTCGACTTGAAAGAGAAAACTTCTCACATCGCGCA